ATATTTGTCTGCACAACAGCCATCAAATCATGATCACTGCCACTCTTTGTCATGATGGAATTGCGATGGCCATTTAAATCCTTCGTATCGTATATGGCGGCTAATGCGTTACATTAATGGCAATGACTATAAAATGATGGCCTTTTCTTAGCCGGTTTGGCGATAGGCTCCTTCAGAGCATTTTTATTCACTAGTTTTGTAACCTACTGATTCAATACATCTTGACTCTAAAGCTGTCTTGGTTTATCATTTCATAAGGTGGTCTCGTAATTGCCATGCGCCACACTCTTTCTCTAAACGAAATTCCTTGACTTTACATTTATACTAATCTATCAATGACCCTGCAACAGTTCGACGACTGCATTATGGCCGTTCATTTTTGCAAGATCAGTTGCTGTCCTGTGCAAAGAATCCATGATAGCCTTATTAGCTCCCCGTCGCAAAAGGCATCGTACTACGTCCTCCCGTCCCTCTCTGGCACCGATATGCAAAGCGTTCCCAAGTCCCTTCTCTCTCTCACTATCGTGAGTCAGATCATTATCCGGAATCTCGTCGATATCAACGCCATGATCGAGTAGAAGTTTGATCATGTCAATACGTCCATAAAATGAAGCCAATATGAGGGAGTTGGTATTTTGTTTGTTTGCACCATGTTCGAGGATTAAGTCGACCGTCTGTGGGCTTGCATGGATCACCCCCAAATCGAGGCAAGTCCATGTTTCCGATCGGTAGTTCTCGTTTGGATTTGCGCCGTGATCGAGAAGCCATTTAGCGAGCTTTGTTTTATCTGCGGCCACAGCGTGACTGCACGGTATTGCATTGGTATTAGCGATCGATGAACCAATAATGACAATCTATTTTACCTGAGGGCGTCTCCTGTATGACCTGCAGACTGATTGATATTCCAACCCGAATCTATCATTGCTTGAAAAACGTCAACGGATTGGGATTTTGACGCTGCTAAAATTATGTCTGTTCAGAAAGTTTCATTGTTAGCAGTAGTTGTTAAATTTTTCAAAAATAACCAATTACAAACCGGGAGACACGGTGAATCCATTTCCAAGCAGATACTTGACAATTGTGCTGTTTCCATTCCGGGCAGCAACAATGAGTCCTTCTTGAAGTGGATGGTCATGCAGAGCACTAGCTGTAGTCGTACACTCTGCAAGAATCAACTGTACTTCCTCCAGGCTGTTGTTGGCACAAGCTAGAGTAAATCTTTCTGAAAAGGTCGTAGACATGATGGTAAGATTGATATACTCCTCGTTGAGGTTTGAGCCGATCTTTAACTATGAACAAAGGTGGCACTGCGAGGCAATGCTGGATTGTAGATGATGAATAGCTGTTGACGAAAACCGGTACAGACGTCTATTCCTGGAGTAGAATACGTATCGCCTCATTGTGGGACAGTTGGCAACAGCCTGCTGAGGTAAACAGAAGGTGATGTACTTCACTGGTAGTGTGCACCGCGTTAAATATGAACTGGTTTGCATTCTGTAAAGTGTTGTTTCCCACCGGGCCCAATGCCCCAAACCTGAGTCAGACAGAGATTTACACTGGTTTCTAGATAGAGCATACAGGAGATGGTAAGAGTAAATGATGAAGGAATGTAAGTATTACTAACATACTTATCCTTCCGACGGGAAGCCATAGGTAAACAACCCCTATCTATCAATATTCATCACTCCCCAAGATTGATTTTTTTTGTCCAGGGCCCGCACACAATGATCAATTCCCTTTTCATCATCCATATTTTATTATAAAAGAAGAGGGCCAACGCTACGCGTGGCAATTACGAGGCCGTAAAATGTGGGTACTTACGAGGACCCCTAACAATCCCCTTAGATGCCTAAGCGGGTAAAGATGGGGGATTTTGAGCGAATTCTTGAGGTAAAAACTGCCTGGAATGTAGCCAACCCATCTGCTTCCCATGAGCTCACGCCCCGTGTCAAGATGGGGCAGTGTTCTACTTATGGTGTCGGGCAATCCGCGGTAAGTCCGCACCTCATGAGCTGAGATTGTGTACTGCTCTTTGCTTTCTCTGCCTCTCAAGCAGAGTTTGAGTTATTTTTTACTTATTATGATATCAGTAAGACTGTCATGGAGCCCAGTACCGAATAAAAAATGAATATTACAGTCTATTTTTTATCAAATCTTCGTACTCCATGCTTTGTCTTCATTTTCCATCTCCTTGTAATGTGTAAACTTCAACTCGTGAAAATAAGACTTTGTCTCCCAAAAGGACCTTGAAGGTATATTACCTCTCTGAAGCTTCAAGCACAGATAATATTCATCAATGCCAGTACTGTATTCTCCTCACTAGTACAACTGTAAAACATTTGGGAGCGAACTCTGCTAATTTTTATCAACATACAGTGCTACCATGGTCATTTCCTTACCCTTCATAAATCCTATTCATTGCCAATGGACCCTATTTGCAGAAAACAACTTGAGTATATTGCTCAAAAATCTGGTAAGGTTGACTTTCAATTTTTTTGCTGGATTCTTGGAGGAAAATTTGCCGGTAAATTGCCGGTTAACAGGTTAGGGAATATTGCCGGAATACCGCATTCACTGAATCACGCCAGAGGATTCAGATAAAGAACGAATCCTTCATTTCATTCTGAACTTATAACTACTAAACCTATGGAGCGAAATTTCATCAATTAATCTGCTATTATTCTCATAATAACCCCGCACAAGTGCTAAAAAAACTTGCTTTAGGAGCCGGAATAAGAATATCGAAAATTCCTACAGAGACATGGCCCGGAGAGCCATGACGTCGGCACCAAGCATCAGCACCTTATATCTGAAACGCAAATTCATTCAGATCCAATACCTGAAAGGCGTGACTTCAAGCTACGGACTATTGAGATTAGGACCATCGCTAGAACGACACTGTTCGAGTGGAGCCTGAGTACTGTTTAGTAGGAGCTACGATTCAAATATTGATGCCTATGCAACGGCAAAATGCTATTGAAAAAATCGAACGTAATAGGACATTATTTCCACTAATTTTCTACAAAAAAACCTAGAATAATCGAGCACAAAAAGAAAACAAGGGATTCAAAGGGCTAGAGCTCATGCTAGCATCAAAGGAACTGTAGCAGCCACAGCAAAAGCCATTATTGCTCCACCGTGACATTGTGATCTGCTAAGTGCAGCGTTAATTGTTGCACGTTGAACATTGACCCCAGCATCCGTGCAGCCTTGGAAAAATACCGCTGAGACGCAATGAGCAATTGGCTTAGTACAATCGATTTCAAAACCACATACAATTATAGTAGTCTTGTGCATCTGCCTTTGAACCTCCACCGTTGACAACAACGCAATCCAGACAAGATACCAGACCGTTTCCCATCGCGTTTGTGCAGCACTCGTCTGCACCAGAGCAGGCCTATTTGAATTTACGCAAGGATATCAAAATTGATTCGAGATAGTTCTGGGAAAGAACGTACCTGCCAATCAGCACAAGTGTTGTCGCATTTGGTGGGAATGTTTAAATCTCCAGAGGTTCCCGAGCTGGAACTACCAGAAGTGTCGCTTCCAGTATCGCTTCCATCTTGGCCGGGTATATTAAGTTGACGAGGTTTGAGTTCTTTGGAATATTGTTGAGGTACGCATTCTGGATGTCTATGTTAAAGTAACACTCACCGTGACCAAGGACACCCAGAGCATAAATCATCAAAAACATAGAGAACAAAGCAGTTTTTAAGGCGAACATCTTTGAATTAAATCTGATGGCAAAGACTACAGTGAATGGAACGCGACTGCTGGTGAGTGGTGATGTGCCTCATTCGCCCTGGGTTTTAAGCAGACTCTACATGCTATGCTACCCTTCCTACGTTCCTGCCAAGGTCTCAGCCACAATGTCAGTTCGGCCAATGACCGAGTCATTATGCATGCTTGGTCGGCACGCCGAGCAACAAGTGACTACAAAAACCAGGGTCCGAGGTGATTTTCAAGCTTTTTGGTATTCAATCGAGCGGTGGCTGATGCTAATCCCTGGCCAACAACCTGTCAACCGTCTGCACAACTGTCAGGTCACTTGTGTTCAAATGCCAATATAAGCGCCTATGAATCCACATGTGTTGCGAGATTGCCTGTTCTTCAATTCATTTTCTCATGTTGGACGTGCAATTGAAGACTAGACGTAATGTTGCGAACATGTTCCAAATACATTCATTTTGCCTACCTGTCAGTCGCTGTCAATAGTTTTGTCAAGACATGAAAGGTATATAACCGTTCTCAGCCTCGTTGTTTAACTTGCGCTCAAGATCGTACAAAGTTATTAGAATTGATGATGAAAATTAAAGTCTGGAAGGGGGAAAGTGATAGAGTCGTCGCGCGCGCGCTGTATACTACAAAAGTCAATCGTTTTAAAGACGTAAAATCTTGAGTACTTGAAGTCTAGACCGATTTCAACGGAACGATTCTTACTTTGTACGTCAGAGAAAAAGTAGGAGGGAATGTGACCCTTGCAAGAGGCAAGAAGGTAGTTATATGGTCAGTAGAGCAAAGGTTTGGGTACAGCACAAAATTCTGACGGACAGATGTCGAGACTAATGCAGCCGCACTGAAAAATGGGCGGTGCATAAATGATGGAAAATCATATGCAAGCGCCGTTGCAGTAGTTTATCATTTTGAGTGGCGCTTCGGGCGTCTCTAGGTAAACTATGGATTTACCGTTGAGGATTTGCTGTTGCTATTAATTTGTGTTGCATCATTTTCTCTATATTTGGTTGTTACTAATATCCAGGAGGAACAACTGAGAAGATGTCTGCTAAGAGAACTGATCTTGATACTTACTGTATTCTTTTTGTTATTTAAATGTTAAGTGCACAATATCAATTAGTACTAAAACCTGATGATATTTCCTTAATTACAGGGGAGCAATAATATCAACCAGTAACATCCACTGTTAGGCCATTCAGTCTTTTGGAATTTCCACTGTTGGTTTGGTATTCGCCAGCGTTTAATCGATATTTAAAGGTTGTCAGAGCAGCATGGCGCAGTGGTAGCGCGCGGGGCCCATATCCCCAAAACAAAAAGGATTAGAACCCCGAGGTCACTTGATCGAAACAAGTTGCTGCTATAAGTTAATCGTTGCGTTTTTGCGTGTCCTTAACTTGGGGAGGTACATATCCTGGACAGAATACGACAGAAAAAGCTAAAGTCAGATCATGGAGCCAGCAGAAACAGTGCTGTTTTCCGAAGTTTGACAATTTTGAAGATTTGGGATATGTAGAGACGGAACTAAAAGAAGGTCCGAATTTCGATCCGGTACCGAAGGCTTCCTTATACGTGTCTCCTTTAATCATTATATGAAAACTCGGGAAGACAGTTTTCCGTGGTTTGATTTGGCTTGATGAGCGTTTGATCGAAAATAAATGTCGAAAAATCCCCACAAAACTATTGGAACTTTCTACTTACCGGAGTTAGAGTTGCATTCCAGAAACTGGTTGAGGCTCTATGCATAAATGATGTACACAATGCGATTTTGTCTAGCTCACTGGAAATCAGCAGGTTTAAAATTCATGCCTGTTTCTCACCTTCTAAGCTCACAACATTTCGTTTTTTTAGTGCAGATTCTTTGATGTTGTATATCTTGAGAAAGCAAATCAATTGAGTCACATATATGACCACGGGCCGCTGTGATGATTGCAATGATCTGCGGGATTTTTGTTAGTGGTGCAGAAGAGAAGTTCTTCTCCACTTTGACTGTGGGCGTTCTATTCATACGCGTATACGTTGCTTTGCCCTGGCATACTAAAAAAGTATTTCGTCCCGCAACGACTCGAGCACTCCAAAAAGATCCGAAAATAGACCAAAAATAGTGTCCTCGAGGACGGAAGCGCGCACAATCGATATCCCCGCACTTGCTTCCTCCATCAAAAATGAATTGTGATCGGAAAATTGATTGTCCTGCGGCAAGGGTCCTGGCAGTCTGGGGTAGACTTGGTCCTACACCGGTCGAGCCCAGCCCAGTTCAGCTAGGTACAACATTAGCAGAATCGCGTCGAGTCGAGAAGGAACGCGGAGTCCCGACAAAGCCCCGACCTAATCCGACAGTGTCCTCGGACACAGAGTCCGAAACCGGCACTCGCCGTGAAATCACAAGAAAGGCAAGTAGCAATTGAATTTCACGTGGCACATGACCGGTGTTTGCAACGTCATTTGGTTTTTGGTCTAAAACTAGCATTACGATTGGTTCTCGTTCTGGAACAGATTCCTTCTTCTCTCTCCCTTTCTTTCTCTCTTTAATCCACCATGTCTGCTGGCTTCAAAATTACCGGCGCATTATGGGACAAGATCCACCATTTCGCTTCATTTCCCCAGACTGGTGTATCACTCCAGCAAATGGTCCTTTTTGGCCAGAATCCGAGTCAGGGGACACTTCTCAAGGCCTCGCAATTTCTGCATGAAGAGCTTCCCGTGCGTCTGGCGCATCGTGTCAAGGAGTTGGACGAGCTACCACATTCGTTGAGCAAGATGCCGAGTATAATAAAAGTGAAGCATTGGTATGCTCAGAGTTTCGAGGTACGTTTTCGTCGTATGACTGCTTTCTCTGTACTAATGTTCTGGATCCAGGAATTAATCAAATTCCCGCCTGTACCCCCACTTCCACCCGACATCCGTCGCGCTCTCATCGGACCTCGTCCTTCACCAGGCTTCTCCGCCTCGTCACCTTCGGATCCTCTTGACTACCAAATGCTACCACAGTCAACACCAAACCCTTCATTAGAGTACATGCAGCTTCAGAACGACTATGCAAATAACAACTTTCCTCTACTGGATGGAAGCGGGGCAAAATCGACGTTTAATGGAGATCCGTGGAACTCGTACCGGCAAAAGTGTGTCTCCTTTGCGCTTCTCTCCTTTTAACCTAACGTGCATACAGTAACGGGAACGGAAATGGAAACGGAAATGGCAACGGCAACAATCCTTTCACCAAACTCAAGCTCCGTCTGCCCCTGGAAAGAAGATATTACTCGCCAAATTCCACTTTGATGAATATTAATTACCCTCCCGAGGTGCGTCTTGTGGCCTCTTTCCCTTCTTTCACTCATAACTAACGTGACGCTCCTATATTACCGTGGTGCAGGTCCACCAATACAACTCTTCTTTCACGAAAGTTCTCGAGACTATTAAAACGAGACATGACCCCACGGTTACTACTGTTGCTCAAGGTACATATCTCAAACCTACTTCTTTCTCGGCGCCAAGCCAACTGCGTTCTAGGTGTCTTGGAATGGAAGAAACACCAGCAACAACGGAGAATAGGGTTGGATATACAGCAGTTTTTGGATAGGTTTTATCTCAGTCGTATTGGAATTCGGTGAGTACTCTTCTATTGTTGTCCTTTTTGTTCTTTGTCTTTTCTGCACGTTGGCTGGTGGTGTTTGAGGGAGAAAAGAGAGCCAAGGAAGGAAGGAAGAAAGAACTTGACACGAATACATTGTCTTGAGGACAGGAATTGCGGAGTTAGCAGCTACGCCGTGATATGTTGGGCAGGGTCGTCGGAAATACGCCAGCGAAGAACGATTGGGCCGTTGGACCAGCGAGCGTTATCTTTCTGTGGTTTCAATTTGTGTCTTTTCTTTCAGTTGTCTTTCTGGGTTCTCTCCTCTTTTGCTTTCACTGGCGACCGGTTTGCTGCCTGTCAGGGTCCTTTCACTCTTTTATCTCGCGTCATGTCCGTGTTATCTCTATTACCCGTTCGTATTGGCCGGACTGGTGGAGCTGTTACTTTTTATTTACGGCCACTCATTTTCAATCAACAAGCTCACCTTTTCCCTTCCCTGCAGATTCCTCATTGGTCAACATATCGCCCTCAACACACAAGAATCGCATCCAGACTATGTAGGTATTATATGTACAAAAGCAAATGTACACGATATCGTTCAAGAGGCTATTGAAAATGCTAGGTATGTGTTCCACATTCTTGTGCTTCATTTGCTAACGTCCACCTAGATTCGTCTGCGAAGAACACTACGCCCTCACCCGTTCCCCTCCCGTCCAACTCATCTGCCCAAAATCTCTCGAATTCGCATACGTACCCGGTCACTTGAGCCATATCGTCTTTGAGCTGTTGAAAAACAGTTTACGTGCGGTTGTCGAGCGCTGTGTTGCTTTAGAGTCTGATGGGAAGAAGGAAAAAGGCCCTCTGATGATTGCTTCGGATATAGAAGACAAGTTCCCGCCTATAAAGGTTATTGTGGTGGAGGGTAAGGAGGATATTACGATCAAGATTTCGGTGAGCAGGCTTGTTTTTTCGTGTTTGACTCTACTAATGTTGCCCTTCCTCTAGGATGAAGGTGGAGGCATTCCACGTTCTGCCATGGGTCTGATTTGGACGTATATGTATACTACTATGGAATCCGGAGGGTTAGAAGAAGACTTTCATGCTAGTGATTTTAAAGCTCCTATGGCTGGATTTGGGTACGGGTTACCGCTGAGTAGATTGGTGAGTGTTGGGTGCTAGTGTTTTGATGATGTTCTGACGATCTTTTTTCTCTCTTCGCCCTCTGCTCGTTACCTACCCCCATCGACATACTCACTTACTATCGACAGTACGCGCGGTACTTTGGAGGAGACCTTCGTCTCATCTCAATGGACGGTTTCGGTACGGATGTGTATATACATCTGAATAGGTTATCGGCCGCTAGGGAGCCTTTACCTTAGAAAACGAGGGACAGCGAGGGCGTTTTCCACGGGTGCTATTACAACGCTATTGGGCGTCGTTTCTTCCGTTATTAATTGCTGGATGTATGGGATCCGGATCTGTTGTTCTTGGTATCAATGACCATTGCCATACTTTTCTCTTTCTTTCTCTGCTCATTTTGGTCATATATTGGTACTTTTATCCGTTTCTCAAGTCATGAAGGGGCTGAGGTCCAGGGTGGGAGGCGGTGGAGATTAATACGCCGTTGATGCTAGGTTGTCATTTGACCCCATACTTTGCGGTATTGGTGTATATAAGTAGTGTACTTTTAGAAATGCGTATACATATATCTTTTTGCGTATGAATTCTGCATTATGATTGACGCCGTCGCGTTTTCTGATCCTCTTGGTCTTTACATTGACATTACCCCCGCCGGGTTTTGTCATTGTGTAAGTAACTGACTGGTGGTTTGATGTGTTCATAACTTGCCTTTGTTGAGTACCAAGGTTACTTGTTCATCTACTTCAGCTATAGACCGATCATCCGTATTCCATGACATGCAGCTCGAGTGTTATTAATACTAATATAATACTGCAATAGTAAAAATAATATGTGGAAAATTGTGTCAGAAGATGCGCAGTGGATGTCGAATATTGGAAAGGTTCAACGCGAATCACCGGTTAGTTCGACAAACCACATGATATATTGCCTCCTAACCTCCAACGACGATGACCTGGACTGACACCATCACAGAACAGTTCGCTCTGGCAGATCGCTTTACAACCGATGAATCCGATTTCTACGGACCTTATAACACCCTGCTCACCCATGTCTTTCCTCACTCTGAACATTACCAAGTCGTTCCGCAGTTCAAAGGACCGGTCACTCCAGGTTCCATAGATTTCACTACGATATACATCGTCAAAAAACGCAAGTTGCCAGTAATGTTCATCGAAATCAAAACTTTCGTTAGTCTTGACGATATGGCCGCTCGCGAGCTGGCCGATCGTCAAATGCGGGACTGTTTTACCCGCCTACTTAATCATCTCAAAATTCCTGCATTGTATGGCATCAGTGCCATGGGGACGAAGTTTGCAGTGTACAAGTACGATGCGGTCACCCGAAGGCTGACCCCGCCTGTCATCGCTCGCGACCCTGAAGTCGTCAATGACGTTGCTCCTGCCGAAAGATGGACACACGAGTTGATGGAGGAGGGTGGAGAGCAGGTCTTCAACGACATCGTGGAGAAGGTCAAGTCAATGTGTTCAGGTATCACGAATGGTAAGCCTCACGGCTCTTTCTAAAGACTATTTGCTGACATCAGTTAGATCCTTGACGCCATATGTTGTGGTGCTATGTAGTGTTTTACTGGGGTTCTGACAGTCTTTCATTTGTATTCTCTCTTTGCCCTCCTCTCTCGTTACCTGGCC